GTGAAGTGGCACTTCGGAGTCAGCTGGTGGAGGATTTAGGCCTAAAGGCGTCTGAACGTATTCGGCCCACAACTTCCAAATCAAATGAGCATAATGATGACTATGAGTGTGACGTGTGTCATTCAATTCTTTACATATCAATGGTAACATAAACTGCAATATTATTATTATGAATATTATTATAAATACTATTTGTTTTTCTGTAAGACACTTGTACTTGGTCAATTTGTAAATATTTTTTATAAATTATAAATGTTATATTTCATGTTGTGCAACTAATTTTTTTTGGAAATGTTTTTAAGCATATAAGTCATACTGGCTACAATAATTGTGCAAAAAAATATTATCAAAAAGTTTAGGCACTCTTTTCATTATACTTCTAAGTCCTGGTTCAACAAGTACACAGCCTGCACATAGCCCAATTTTTTTTTGAAAAGTCCTACTATTTTCTAAAAATAATAAATGCTTAAAACTAAGTAGGTACTTTGAAATCGAATGGACTAAGATTGAAGTATGACAAAAGAGATCTGTAAATGTCAATGCTTGATTAAGGACTTCTAGCCCACTCTGTATACCATAAGCTCAAATTTAACTTATTTAAATAGATATGTAAATATAAAGATATAGCAAGTTTATTTTTTTGTTTGCACAGGTGAACAACTCGCATGAAGACTGTGACTATTGTCTGAGACATGGGATTGAGATTTTATCAAAAAAACACAATCAACTCAAGTATTGCAAGTTTTTGTACACTTTTGACGAGGTGAGAAACAATGAGACAACCTTTTTTTTACAGGGATAGTGGCAACAACTTCATAAAACCTTAAATTGTGCCCTTTAAAATATGCACCTTTTTATACTACTTGACTAACATCTTTGAAAGGACTCGAATATGTTGTCTCAGTCTAACAAAAATACAAGATAACAAATTTGGATTCAGCAGTTTTGATTTTCTGTAGTAACGTTTAAGAATAGAGTGAATTGACCTATTATCTTCTCAGTGTTTTTTTTACTTTTCAAGCCAGTTATGAGTGTAAAATATCTCAAAACTGGCATTTAAATTTTTCATAGGTCAATTCAGTATTCACTATACAATAAAGGTTATTACACAAAATTGGAACTGCTGAACACAAATTTTTTATGTTGTACATTGGTAAGATGAAGACAACAAATGCTAGTGTGGCGATCTCTTAAGATAAGTTTGAGATTTAATTGTTTTTGGTTTGGTTGTATTTGTAAATTGGTCAAATATCAATATGTGATTTACACTTATATGATAAAATGTATTTATAAACACTGTTATAATTCAGGACATTTCTATGAAATATTGACAGAAAACAATTTCAGATTAAACTCACACATACTAATGCTCATTAACTTTGCACACACTTACAAATCATTTTAATGTCCTCATGTTAAATTGCCTATATTAATTTTCTTAAAACACAACTGACTGGAGCCGCCTTAATGCAATTGATTACTAATAATTAATAAAGCTTTAAAATTATTATACTTCTCACTTGTTAGGTCTCATTTAGAATTTCGCTTTATAGTTTGGTCACCTAATTATGCTCTCTATATTAATCTGGTAGAAAATGAACTCCTAAAATAAATCTCCAGTAAATCAAATTTGGCTATTGACCGAGACTCATATAACCTGCAGTTGTCACATCTTTAGGGTGTCTTGAGAAGAAAAGTTGCAGACTTGATGTTCTTGTTCAATTTTCTGAATTGTAACATTGATTTCTCCGAGCTACTTTATATGGTTGGATTTAATGTTAGCATTTTATGGTACAAGTCACACAATTTGTTTGTTATCCCATCTTATAACACTAACTATAGTTCCGCATTATTTTTTCCTGAGTTCTTACTTTAGGTAACAGTATTATTAATCAGATCGTTTCTTAGTTGTCATGTATTTGGTTACTGTTCTAATTTTATTTCTCATGTAATTTTTATGACCTTTTGTACTATTGTTCTAATGTTCTAAAGTGTTCTTACCCGTTTATAAATAATAAATAGCACAACATAACAGTGGGCCGATACCCATAACTACCTGTTGTGTCCTCAAATTTTTATAGAAGTATGGTGGGTAATAAATTAACAGGATCATAAAGATATTAATATATCATAATATGTATAGTATTATTTATACACTATTGTAAAATTTGTATACTAGTATGGTCCATGTGAAGTTTTTAGTAAGGTAGTATTGTAAATAGGGTTTAGTCCACAACATAAACTTTTTGGAACTTTATCATCACCATATACTATATACTATACTATACCATATACTATATCACCTAACCATAACCTAATAAACATTCATATAAGTAGTATGAAAACAAAATGTCCCATTAAGTTATAATACAATGAATCAATACTTTAATGTCACTATGATTTGTTTTTTGTATTTCAGACTGATTTGGATATGATATTAGTAAAACTTCGTGAAAGGATTGATTCAAAAAAAAAGAAGACATCTACCAAAAGTTGATGATGATTCCTGGATTAGATACATATACTTTTGTATATTTAAGTAACAAAAAATTAATTTTTTTAACTACAAACATTAATTGAATAAAACTAAAAAAATCTCATAGGTCTTTTTCTAAAGACATTATATCAAGTTATGTTGCCGTTGAGTGTGTTCGATCATATTATATTATTATACTCTTCCTAGAGAGTAAATTTCAAGACTTAATTTTTATTTTTTTTATTTTCTCATATGTTCCAACATTTTGTGATTTAATTTTTTTTTTTATTATTATTTATTATTACAATATTATTTTAATTTTTTACATTTGTACAAAAATTGTGTTCATGTGGTCTCAGAAATTTGTTAATTATCCGTTTAGCAAATTTTTGTACTTAATAGATTTAATAATAGTATTTTATCAAACTTACGTGTTTGCGTGCTCGAATAGTTTTATTTGTGTACAATTCATTATGTTGCAAAACAAATGTTGACTGGTTACTCTTAAAAATCAATGATGTCTGAGGAGTCTAGTAAAAAACAAAAAGAAAATAATAATAAATGCGATTAGTATTATTGAAAATATAATTGTTTGTCTTGTCATCCTTAGTAAAACTATAATTTTCCACCACTACCCTATATTCTTCCTGCTGAATACAACTGGTTTTACACATAATTTAAATAAAATGACCTTTTTATATAATATTATAAATTATTTAAAATAATACATTTAATCATTGCATTTGCTATTTAATTAACCCATGATTGATCCAATACGATTTGATGCACCTCCCATTTAAGTAACTAAAATATAAAACTGTTTATTTTTCTTATCAATGGTACTATTTAAAATGTTTATAGATTGTGGTTTGCAATCAGGACTAGTAGTTGATTCTAGACACCACAACTTCATCCGGATGTTCATAGATGTCTTTATTTAATTCTTTACTAGATGCTTTAATTTCGTAATATTTTTGTAATATTTTGATTAAAAAATGGTAACTCATTATTAATTTTTAGACATGTTACATTTTGATTACCACATTACACAGTGGCTTGTAGACATCTTTTTTTTTTAGTGAGGCCACCACCCACCACTTCTTAAAGATAATATATCAGTACTTAATTTAACTTTTTTTTTCTAACTGAAATTGATCAATTATACTATACAAGTAACTGACCTTTTTTTTAATAGTTTGAATAGCTCCACTTTATTGTAGCTAGTAAAGTAACAATGAAATAGTTAGTTGTTTTAAAACTCCATTTCACCCATTCATACTACAGAAATTTCATTAGAATAGAACAAATGTGTATCGAGTACTTTTGTACAACCCAATACATTTTGTTGGTTAGGAAAGATATTCTTTTGTTACACTGAAAAAATACTTGAATTTTCAAAATGTATTAGTGAATAAGACATTTAAATATTCAGGTACCCATATTTTTTTTACCCAGTTCAATAATTTTTTTATATTTATTATATTTTGTGATTTATAGCATAGAATTTCATCTATTCTGTGCTTATAGCATGAAGTAAAAATATAGTCTCAAAACGATTTTTGATTGTTGATAATATTGGTGGTATATTGTATTCAATTGACTTCTTTTAAAACCACTTTGTCAATTAATTAATTATATTATTTTATGCTCAAGGGTCATGAAAGCTCTGCACTTGTCACCTACGTACATATGACTTTTTTATTGGGATGTAGTATAATATAAACAAAATATTAGCAAAATACACTGTTCAGGTTAAGAACTGCACTGCACTTTGACCAGTTTTTGTTGTCGGCAGTTAGGTAACGACTTTTCATCATCCCACCAAGTCTACAAACTGTATGTTGGCTGTGAAGTCAAGCTGATAGAAAATAGATATTTGCCCCCACACCCACATCTTTCATACCAAATAGAGTACAATATATTATATAAAAATAAAATTTATAGGTTGAAAAAAGATTACATTAAACGTAGAAATTATATTGAAAGCATAAAGTAAAATAATAATATATCAAATTAATGTTAACAACATTAGAATAGTATAAATACTACCAATGGAGAAAAATAAGCATTGAGAATTTTAGAAGAACAAAGATAAATAAATTTAAGACAAATTCCAAATTACAAAACTATAAAATCACAAACCACATATCACTTTTGGTGGTTTCATACGTTAGAAGATCAAGACAAAAATCCATCTTAAAGAATCTAAATGGTAAACTAGTAACTACTGATGGTTAAGGTAAGGTTATATTACATTAAATAATATAATTAAGAATAAAATAACGAGTGTTGGAAATATAAAAATTATTTTTTATTTATTTTGTACCTAAATTGCGTCAGACATAATATAATAATTAATAGGGGCAATGAAAGGAAAAAGAACAACACTGCGTCATTAAAACATTAACAAATACATAGAAAATTATCAATCTTGGTGTTTTGAATTGGTAGATTAGTCAACAATTAACTCAGCTCTGTCTTGGAAGAGGTAATGACTGGATTTTACAAAAATCATATTTTTGTGTTATTTTCCATTAATAAATCTGAAAACAAAATAAATAATTATTTTTACATGTCCAGCATCTTTAGTGATGGTTATCGCAGGGAATACTGACTTATGGTAAGAAAAATTGGTCTGGGAGTGAATTTTGCGCACATGTTTGGTCAAGTTGCTCTGGCTATTGGATGAATGGTTGCAGAATGGACAACAATAAGGCTTGTAACGAGAGTGTATGACTGTATGTCTCTTGAGCAGAGTCAGTGTTTTAAATGATTTGTCACAAATTTGACATGGGTGTACAGGTTCATTGTGTACAGTATTTTGGTGTGTTATCAACCGGCTCTTGATAGCAAACATTGAACCACATTCTTCACACCTTCAGTAAAAAAACATTACATTAGAAATACAATTGAATCATTGAATAAATGTACAAAAAAAACATTGCAAATAAATTTCTAATAAAAAACTCAATATGAAACATGTAATAAAACAATTTTTAACATGTTTTGAGGTCTTGGTTGGGACTTGTTAAGATTAGACAAGTGTAAAATTAAATATTTGAGTCATTGATTGTGCATAGTGGTATCTCATAAAACTATGTAAGAAGAAACTATACTTGTATAGGTTGTCTCTGTCTTATAAGCACACAACATAACAAATTTGTGTTCATAGATAAGTTGATCATTGTAATACTCACATGTATGATTTAACTTTGTCGTGAGTGTATGAATGTACATTCATATCATGTTTTGAAGCACTCACATGATAACAAACAGAGCAGACAAATTTTGCTCCTGTGTGATCACAGTGTTTCAATTTTTTGTGACGTTTCAAAGAATCATACAAAAATGTTGTGTAAGTGCACTAAAATGCAAACAAACAGAGAAATTAATTATTAATAACAGATTTGATATTTTAGCTGATAGGTTCATTTACAAATGGTAATATATTTAAATATGAAAAATAAAAGTATGAATGGTTTATACATTACCAATGTACATGAATATTGTTGTTTTTTAGTGTGACTAGCATTAACATGCCGCTCTAAGTTGTATTTATCAAAAAATTTTCGCTCACAATAACTACAGAAATAGTCGCACACTCCCATATGACGTTTTAGATGTTTTTTCAAATCTGATTTTCTAGGTGTTTGGTACTTGCAGTCTGCACATTTGTAGACATTTTGTCTTTTTACGGCTATATAAAATTAATAAAATATAAGAAGGTTAGAAGTCTAGATAAAGTACAATATGATGTAAATTGTCTTACAAGGTGATTTATTTTCACTACATAATGCTTTAAAGTTATCAAACGCCTTGCAATTTGTTTTTCTTTTAGTAAATTCTGCTTCTTTGAAATTTCTAAACAAAAAATAAAAATAACAAGGACAAACAAAATATATGATATTATATCATAATAAATATACTTGCATACGTTTTAGTTAAGTCATTCTCGGACTGAATCACTTCTTGAATGTTAGTTTCGCTGTCATTGATTTTACACATAAATTCCTGCAGTACTTCATAAATTTTTTCAAGTGTTGATCTTTTCAATAAGGCTGTAGTCTGAACACATAAGATATTTTCAAAAGTCTGTTTACACTAAAATTTAAAATAGCCAAAATTATTATAAAAGATATACAAAGTTTAAAGTATTCAATAATATGTATTTGCGGATTAAGGACACAATCACAGAATAAATATTCTTTAATTATTCTGTGATACAATGTTATCGTTAACAATAAAATGTCATACACTTGCAAAGTGGTGTCTTAATAACAATGGTTACAATGTAGGTAACAAATTGTGAACTGTATTTCTGTTTATAGCTGTCATTTTTTTTGTGTTAGGAGTCTGTAATGTAGATTCTATACTGACCATTCCATATCACCACTATACACAAAATCCATCATTGACAAAATCTCTTTCGCTTTAAAAATAAACAGTAAATATGTACTGGTGTATTTCAAGATGTAGAGCAGGCATTGACAAAAATCCGATACCAAGGCCTACATTTTAAACAAAAATCTATCTTTCCCACTTACTACTACCTCATATCCAAATCTTACCCAGAAGAAAAATACTTTTCTGTACTCTCAGGTTTAGCCTTATCTGATCCAAGTTGGTATTCCTCAAAGAGCTGTTTCAGCCTCATTGTTGTTCAATTTATTTACCTGTGATCGTTTAACCATTCTCTATAGTCTATACTACAAGTAGTCGAAAACTGATCCTGAAATGACCTCAAACATGATACAAAGACATTTAAACCTCCTGTCAATAAGGTACAAAGACTAGGGATTAAAGTAAATTAATCAAAATCCTTTCACTGCACATTCACGCAGAGACCAAAAAAATTGTCCTACCATCACACTGGATGATCTACCTCTCCTTACTGCACAAAACGATTGTTACTAAGACCTGAATTTAGATCAAAGATGACATAGACAACCTACATCCACACTAAATCTCTTTTAAATAACAACTCTCCACAATTATGACCATATCCATAACCATTACAATCCACTTATCTTCAAACTCTGTTCTTACCGTCACAGATGACCGAATTAGAATCGGTGTAGCCTATTTGAGTAGAATATATATCATACCATAAAGTTTCATTCATAGATAAATTCTTCATACTTCACCAATTAAACCCGTCAATTTTGCTGATTGTAAGAATTTAACTTGCAGATAGTGAAATAGATTTATAATAAACAAAAGAAGTATTTTTTTTTCTTTTCACTATAAAATATATTCATTAAATAATGAAATAAGTAATGGGTATTGTAAAACATTTAAACCATTAAAATATTGCATAGTTGGGGACTTGGTGTGATCTTTTTTCCTGTTAGGTTTGAATAATAATGGTAAAAAGAAAAACCATTGGGTGGATAGGACTAAAACTGAATAAAAATACTTGTTTAAGCATAAGTAATAAAATTAAATAGATCATAAATTGACAAATGACAAAACAAACAACATAAGAATTAATTTATAGGTAGTATGAATCATCAATAGTAATATACAATAAAAATACTCGTATGAAAATAATGGTGATGAATTGGTTATTACATTAATTAAAACAAAATGTGTTTGTTTTTAAAAATAATAATTTAAATATAATTTTTTTCTTGTTAAGTTTAAAAATATTATTAACCATAAAAAACACAAAATGTACAGGAACTGAAAAAATGCAATAACAAACAATTAATATTTACTTGTAACACCGAATCTTCTAACACTTTTGAATCGTAACTATCATCACCGTACTCAGCCATTTGGGTAATCGTTATTTGAAATATTTTTTTATTCACTACCTACACCAGGAATACCCAATAAAAATGAGATCAAAATGCCAGTGGCGTAAGCATGGTGTCAAATTTTAGTAAAATTAGTCTTCACGAATTTATTACCAAAAAACAAACAAAAAAAATTATGCCCATGCGATACTGTATATCAACATGTTCAGTTAAACCAGTTGAACGGCAGGTAATAAACCAGATAGAAAACTAGATAGAATAAAAAAAACAACTTTCATAAAAAAATTAAGTCATTGTTCGTTTTTTTTTTATTGGGGGGAAGGGGGTTACATATTATAATGTAGATACCTATGATAATAATATTACATATTTATATATATAAGTATTAACGTGCATTTAATGATGCATTTTCAGCACGAGTCACTGCCTTGTTATCTCGTCTTCAACAACAGTTATTTGATAACTGCAGTACTGCACGCATTATCAGTAAACAGGTATATTATCATAGAACAATAATTTTAATATCAAAGTACCAAGATCATAGAAAAGAGATGATTAAAGAAGAGACCATAGACATATAATATAATTATATATTCTATTATATGTCTATGGAAGAGACCCAGATGCAATGTACTATAATCAAGGTGGATTTATATATATAACAAATAACTTAAAATTTAAAAATTTAAAAATTTAATTTTCAATTTATAAAACCACCTTTGTACTAATAATTTCTTCGTTTTTCAACTGCAGTGTACAGTCCATAGAGTAATGTAATTATATCGTGGGTTACTCTATAGTAATGGTACAGTACTACAGTTATCCTAAACGTAATAAGGAATCCATCTATCCCTAACTTGTGCCAATGTTCTGCCTCTCGTATTCCAATTTCTGCTAAGCACTTTTCAACTTTTCCCATCCACCTCTGCTTTGGTTTACCTAGTGGTTATTTTCCATATGGCATGAATAAATTTAGATGGTAAATCTCAAAATCCCTGTTTGAGCACCTCTCTGGGTTGGACCTACCGGGTCCAATTATGAATCTAAATCACCCAGTGGAACCATTCAAACACAAATTTCATCAAAATCGGTTCAGCCGTTTAAGAATGCATAAAGGACATCCGAATTACAGACAAACATTCATTTATATGTACAGGGTGATCCATTTAAGTGGGTACACTCATTATTTCGAAAAGTATTAACTTTTTTGGATTTTTTTTTTTAACTTTTAGATTTATGCTTTTCTATAACTGTATACTGTTTTAATTTTTTTCACCCTTATATTTATTGGTGAAACCACTATCAACTTTGGATTTTCAAATTTTAACATATAATAAAAAGATCATGAATTAATAAAACCATTTTATTTATGAATTTACGAGTTAACATTTTTATTTTTTGTTGATTGGTTTGTGAGATACAGCTCCTCAAAGTATTGGTACCGGTACCGGTGAAAAATTTTCATTTGTAAAGCCCAGAAGCTATAACTGATAAATTCGATACCGTTCGACCTAAGGTGTACTATATAGGTGTAATAGCAGTATAGCACTAATAAGACATTCAATTAAGCAGGTTCAAAGTACAACAATTATCAATATGTTTAATGTTAGGTTCCTTAGGTAGTTAGGTCGAACGGTATCGAATTTATCAGTTATAGCTTCTGGGCTTTACAAATGAAAATTTTTCAGAGGTACCGACTATAACACCTCCTTTAACCACCAATACTTTGAGGAGCTGTATCTCACAAACCAACTAACAAAAAATAAAAATGTTAACGCGTAAATTCATAAAAAAAATGGTTTTATTAATTCATGATCTCTTTACTATATGTTACCATTTGAAAATCAAAAGTTGATAGTGGTTTCACCAATAAATATAAGGGTGAAAAAAATTAAAATAGTATACACTTTTAGAAAAGCATAAATCTAACAGTTTTAAAAAAAAAAAAATCCAAAAAAGTTAATACTTTTCGAAATAATGAGTGTACCCACTTAAATGGATCACCCTGTATATATATAAATATTATTGTTATTATTTTTAGGGGTGGTACTGCACTAGTGCAGATGATGATGGCCACTGGTCACCTCTACACCGTTCAAGGCCAGTCCGGCGGGGCGGACGAGAGCCGCGGTCACGTTTGCCCTGGACGCGAAGACGACCATGGTAGAGGCATAGGCGCACATAGGGGGGTGCTTGGCGGTGCTTAGCACCCCCCGAGCTTCAAACTAGCACCCTCAGTTTATTTCAGTATTTCACCAATCATTTATAAGCTATCGTGGTTTATTGGTTCGGAATTTTTCTTTTCATTACAAATATTGACAACTGTTTACGAATTCACGAATTCATATTTTTTTTTTTGTCTGTCATCATCTTTTAGGACAGTAAAAGTGCTTGGATTTTCTTCAACAGTATCTTTTCTGATAAGAAAGTGAATCTAGTTGGTACTCTGGGGGGGTCAAAAGCAAAAATTTCACAGTAGTTTTCAAAAGCGCCGTGAAAAACAAAAGAAAAATTAATAGGAAAAACGGGAATTTATACGCAAAATCTGTTTTTGGGAAAATTGATTTTGGTTTTTAGTGTAATTTTAAAACAAATCACCGTAGATATATGAAATTTTTACTGGTTATTTATATTTCCATTTTCTATACATTATAAAATGTTCTAAATATTTTGAGTTATTTTGAGCTTTTTACGGACATTTTTAGTTTCCATTTTTTTTAGTTTTTTTTTCTATAATTATCAATAAAATTTTATTTGTTGGGTATAAAAGCTTAAACATTTAATAGAAGGCTCCTAATTTATTGTTTCAAAGACAGATGAAAAATATTAAAAATCCTTAGTCACAGTTTTTTGTTATAAGCATTTAAATTCCAAATATTGACAAAATACGTGAAAATGCCGAAAATTTGTAAAGTATTTCGTGTTAGAAACTCATAAAAATTTTTCTTTTTAAATCTAAGATATGAAAATGTAATGCAAGATTCCTCATAAGTTTGTCTACCTTTATCAAAAAAAAAATGTCTACAAGAATCTCAAATTAAATTTTTATGAACGTTTGAAATTCATATTTTTACAACATTTGATATTCACTCGATTTCTCATGTAACAATTTTCTAATTTTGTTGTAATTAAAAAACGAATGACTGTAGATACTTGAAAATTTTACTACATTTTTATATTATAATTTCCTATACACCATATAGTTTTCAAAATATTTTGATTCTTTTTGAGCTATTTACGGACATTTTCAGTTTTCAATTTTTTAAATTTTTTTTTCTATTCATATCAATAAAATTGTATTTGTATGGTAAAAAAGCTTGAAAATTTAATGCAAAGCTCCTGATATATTGTTACAATAACACTTGAAAAATATTAAAAATACATAGGCACAATTTTTTTTTATAATTATTTAAAATTCAAATTTTGACAAAATTTATCACATTTAAAATTTAATAATAATTTTATAGTTTGAAAATTTATAAAATGTTCAACTTTTATAGCTAATGATTGAAAATTTAAAACAAGATTCTACGTAAATAGGTTATATATAAATTGCTTTATTCACCTTAGTATCATCAAATATACTTAGTAATATCATGGGCTGACTAACCGTCTTCGCTCAGAATCGTTTTTCTTATACAATGATGTTAGTATATCATTGAATTCAAATTTAATACCATCGATTATACAGTGACCTACTTGTACCCTACTGTACAGCAGAGCAGCTTTCTATGTTTATCAAACTTAAATAACTTTTATTTTCGTTTTGATATCGGAAATATAAAAACAAAGTTACAGAGTAAATTTTCTCATTTTTATAGTGTGAACATTTAGTTTCTTAGCTTAGAGTGAATGTTTTTTTACCCGTGCAAAACAGTTTTGCCTAATGTTGTACCTACGTCTGTAATACGGAGACAACATATGTGGGTGTACGGTGTACCTAGCGTCTTTTTTACAATCATACAGACTATTTGATATATTGCACTTTAGAAATGATTGTATACACTATACAAATTAAATCTAATGCAATGCAGAAATATTAGTATTAGGGGGGTGTGGGGGGCTTTGCCCCCCACGGATCTGTGAACCATAAATTATCCCAGCACCCCCTAAATTAACACCCTATGTGCGCCTATGGGTAGAGGGCGAAGCCCGGCCACAAGTACAGTTGGCGACGAGCGGCTATGGTACACGAAGTCGTGCGCTTGGCGGTACTCTGCAGGCGCTGAAAGACGACTGTTGTGCCATCGACGACGGTGACCAAAGCTCGGAGTGATCTACGAAGACTATAATATAGGACAGCAGGATTAGACCGTTTGGCGAAAAGAGGAGAGAATCGGTGGACAGCATCTCAACGCACTTTTCTGTGACCGAACTCTGAAACGTTTCCTCGAGCACGTCGCCGCCACTCAGTAATTATAATTTATAGTCATCTCTTGCGCCGTGAGCTCTGCGGTCTCCGTCGCCACCGTCACGAGTCGTCTTCGTGCATTCCATCACTCGTCACTGGTACCGTCGAGGTGGTGTCGATGTCCACGCTGGTACCGCAGTAGCCGCTATAGGCTAAAGGCTTTCACCTCCGACGTCGTTTCGTAGTCGTCGTCGTCGCAGCCGGGCGCTCGCCGCACCGCCAGAATGTCCCGCAATCCCGTCACGCTACCGCCGGTGACCGGAAAACGTGTATCGGCGACTTACCGCCGATCGCCCCACAAGTAAACTACACTACACTATCACGTACAGGTTCGGATCCAGAGTTCGGAAACTGAGGAAAATTTATCGGTGGTTTTTCCCGTGGCATTAATATTAAATAACTATTGAGAAAATCGAAAAATGACCTGTTTAAAGTACCATCTTGATCTAATTTTCTAAAAAATAAGATACTATATGTTGAAATCGAAGCACTCCTTCTGGTAGAAATGTTGTATACAAAATAAAAAAAAATAAACACCGTTGTAAAACCAATAGATCCCGCTCAGAATCTAAAATATAATTACAATATTATGTCCTTTATTTTTTTA